ATATATATATATATATATATATATATATATATATATATATATATATTAAAATAAACTAGTACTAAAACTTGTACTACTATTCCTACTTGGCGTTTTTGAACTTATCATGGGGGCTTCAGGGTACAGATCCCCGTGATAAACGAGACTACTGTACATTCACGCATTCCCCTTTGACATCACTTCATGTTAGAGTGCATCTCAGAGGCGTAACCTTTTAAAATACATTATTAATCAGTCAGAGGTTCTTTGTCATTCGCATCACTTGTTGTACATGTAGTGGAACGAAATTGTGTACACAAGGTCCCAGTTACATCCAACAATAGCAAAAATATAAAGTGTAAAAAGAAACAGTAAATAAGGATCTAAGATATCAACTGATATACGCAAAACAAACGCCAAACAGTACGCTATATGCCAGTCACTAATGGTGCAAAACAATACACCGAACAACAGCAGAACGATTCTCATAGTTTCTGTTAGACTATAATTTACTTGCTTAATGCGAGCATTAACATAAACTAAACTAACATAAAGTAGGATTTATTCAAAGCATGCAACAAAAATACAGAAATGAGGCACCAAAAATAATAAAGAAATAAAAAGAAAGAGTTTTGATGACAGTGAGGTTATCTTGTCAACATGGTCTATGGTCCATAATGTTATCTTTTCAAAAATGCATTAATTTTTATTACCACAAATTGATGTCACAGGCACTTTAATATATGGCTGTGATCAAAGTCAATAAGTGAAGTAGTGCTTTATAGGTTTTTAATTATTATTCATTATGTTTAATTCAGGGACTGAAAACTAGTGATTTGTTCTCAAGAAGTAAAGCTGCTCTATTATTTTAGTGCTGGAAGTTCAGGGTGTTGTGAAAATTACAGACCTATATGTCAGAAAGCTTGATTCACACCTTCCAAAGCCAATTCTCTGCCAGTTAATGAAAACTGGCAAAACAAAATCTTTACACTATTTCATCCAGAAGCTATCTGTGCAAGTTGTTTAAATCAGCTTCGCCCTTCCTCAGGTTCTGGCTCCAGTTCAGTGCAGAAGATGGATCTGGACCTGGTTCAACCATTTTTGTTGACAACATCTCTTTCAGCATGGACTGCTTCTTGGCATGTGAGTACTTTAAAAATGTTGAGTTATTCTTTCCAGTCCTGGCTTAAATATTAGGGTTGTTTGACAACTTTTTTTATGACAAGCATTGATTTTTCTTTAGTTCTAAAAGGTTTAAGTGACCTAGAGCAAATAAAATACTGATAAAGCCATGTTGCATATTCATTACTAGATTAAGCAGCAGGTTTGCATATACATTTACTCATCTGGTACTTATGTACTCATGATATACCATCACAATAGAAAGTAAATATCTTGATTTTTTTTTAAGTTCAACATCAAGAAACAAAATGAAAAAAAGGTCTTAAAATCAGGTAAGTAGTACAACAGGTGACTCATAATTTACATATTAACTTGTCTTTTTTTATTTGACAAAAATGGCAAAAATTTAGAAAGTGTGTGGAAAAGTACCTTTACTGCTGCCATAAGAATCAAAGAGTTAAGTATGAGCTATTCTATAAAAGCCATAACTCGTCGGTTTGCTGCTCTGGAGCATTTAGGTGTGTTTTACCACGTCAGGAAGGAAAGTCATCAGCAATGACTTTTAAGAAGCATTGGTTGCTGTTCTGACAAGGGTTAAAAATGATTTCCAAATATTTTTAAGTTTATTATTCTGCAGAAAAAAAAAAGAGATTCTTCACAAATTAAACTTATTGAGCATCCATTCTTAAATATCTTAAGTTCACCCAGAAATGGTGAAGAAACCCAAGAGCTCCATCTCAGACTCTGCAGGTCTCAACAAGCAGGTTAAATTATAAAGTTCGTGACAGGACAAATAAAATAAAGACTGAACAAGTGTGACTTTTTGGGATAGATTGCAAGAGAATGTCCTTTTTCACTTTTAAAGAACAGCTCAGCACAGTTTCATCAAAACAAAAGACACCTGGAACGGTGTCTGTTGGACAGACAAAACCAAAGTGGATGTTTTGTCAAAATGCACAGTAGCATGTTTGTTAAAAACCAAAGACAGCATACACACCTAGACAACTGGTGGGAGCATGATGATGAAATGCTAATAATTTGGGCTTGTTTTCCAGCCACCTGTGCATCTTGCAGTCACCGAGTCGACTACTAACAAACTAAATAAACTCCTGTGTGTATTCTATAGTCCAATGTACGGACTACTGTCCATACTCCGTAGCTTGGAGCTTGGATCAAACAACGTCATGAAACAAGACAATGATCTCAAACACATCAGTAAATCTGCAGTAGAAAGACTGAAAAAAAGAAGAAGGTGCTGCAATGTCCTGATGAATGCTCAATACTCCAGGTAGTTTATTCTAATAAGGTTGAATCCCTTGAACCCAGGGGAGGCCACGCCAAAATTCACAAACAAGGTGTACCGTTATCCCAGTGACTTTCATACCACAAAATGTCTGGCGGCAAAGACTGGTTCTTCCCAAAGATCCAGTCCACTGGCACAAACAGAGTAACATTATACTGTTCAATGCCAGAAGGGCTGTGATCAGTTATACATCAGGGAAACTAAACAGCCACTCGCCAAAAGGATGACCCAGCACAGAAGAGCAACATCATCAGGCCAGGACTCTGTGGGCTACACTCACCTGCAAGCCAGTGGTCACTCTTTCAGGGATAAAAATTGGCACGACCTTGATGGAGAGTAACATTGGTTTGAGAAAAGAGTAAAGAAAGTCTTTGTGAAGAGTACCTGCCCATCATTAAACAGGGGTGGAGGCCTCTGTGTTCAACTGTCCTCCTCGATTAATGCTGGTATTGCTTGTATCACTCAGCCCGCTGTGAATAGCAAGCAGCTATCAGGGTGCTAATGATCTATTGTTAGGTTGGTGGTCCTCCTTTTGCATGTGAACTTCTAGTTCTGACTGCCCCCAGCAAACTGGTTGATCCACTAGGAGAAGGTGCTGTTGATAAGACTGGGTATGTTGCAGCTTCTCAGACTGAAGAAGTCTTTTGGATAAAAGACAAAACTTTTTAACAAAGAATCCATCCAGAGGACCTGACTTAACTTGTTAGAAGGTGCTGCAATGGTTCAATTAGAGTCCAGACCTCAACTTGAAAAGAAATGCTTCCGTAGGATCCTATAAGAGCTGAGCACGAACAAATGTGTGCAAACCTCACTGAATTGCAAGTGCTGGAAAGAGAAGTGGCATTGAATTTTTTCACAACCATGTGGGAGGCTGATTAAGTCATACAGAACATTTTACTTTGGGTTATTCCTGCTGAATATGATTTTACAAGCCATCCGTTCATGATGTGATCTGTATTAGTATTCTGGTCAAGATTTTGTTAAAATCTTGGCACGTTATAATTTGTGCCATCGCCTGTCTAATATTGTATTTGTCAAATTTGTTTAACTTTAAGAATCAAAATAAATTTTTGTCTTCATTCGGAAAACCTCAGATGTTAAAAAATATATTTTCTTCATGACTGTGTGTCTGCAGATCCAATCTAACCCTTACTTTGTTCTTTTTCTGCTGCTCATAACTTTTCAGTCTCAGTCAGGGCAATTTAAAGTCGAGCTTTATAAAAGATGACAAAGTCTTTTAAGTCTTTAGTTCTTTTAGAAACGAACTTTGGTAAATCTCCTGCAGCTTTGGCTTTCTTTAGATTGACAGCTTGTCATGAAAATGACACGTGATTATATCCCTTTAAAACGCCTTCGTTGAGAACATTTGATGTGTTTTAAAATGTCAGAACCGTTTCTGGCTGATTGATGAGGGTTTATGTTCCAGCGTTTTACTGCTGGCTTAGAAAGGTCGAGCCTTGTGTCACCTCTCCAGATATTTTTGTGTTGTAACTGAGATGGTTTATTGGTACAAAAACAGGAGCGAGATGACAGCCGTGTAGGAATGAGAATGAAAGGTTATGAGTTCAGTGCCTCCCCACATCTCTGCCTATCTGAGGGAACCTGTTTGAACTGTGATGGGAATATTAATAACGATCATCTCTGGGCCTGAAAAATAGCTCCAGCGTAAAGAACTGCTCAAACGGAGCGGTGTGTTATTCTTAAGGAATGAGGACACAGGTCCCACTCTCCCATAGTCATACCATAGTTTTTGCTGTATAAGTCGTAGTTTTTTGCATAAATTTGCATGCCTGTGACTTATACAGTGAAGTGACATTTATTTTTCCCATATTTATAACCCAATTTTTGGCTGAGATCTGACGATTTCATTCATTCTGACATGGAAAATATTGAACACTACCATTTTCAGCCACTAGAGGGCGGTCGACTAATATGGCAAGCCAAGTGTCTCATTAATAAGTAAAAGTGGATCTTAATGAGACGCTTGGTTTGCCATACCAAGCCAACTTCGTCTCGCTTCAAAGCTCCTGGAGCAAACGTTAAATCAGCTGCATTTTGCTGCGCCGCCCAGGCGAAATGTAGCTGATTTTACCGTTAAAGTGCATTTATTAAGGACAAGTGAAACTGAGACACACATTTACTATAATTTCAAGCAAACAAATAATTGTTTTTAAGTGTTAATCTTGTTAAATTCTTGTTAAAGTCCTCCCATGCACGCTCCCGCTGACGCCATCTGGCAACCAATCGATTTTTTGCACAACACTGGCTCACATTTCCGAGTTGTCAGTGGTGACGCGTAAAAGACGCGACGCATCAGCGGTGACGCAAAATAGATACAACGTATACAGCGAAGCGACGCATTTGTTTTTTCCACTTCATTAGACATTTGGACTGATGCGACTTAACGACCGTTGTAACAGTCAGTATGTATATTACTGTTGTAGTACCTCTTTAACGCCACACGTGGGCGCTTCCTTCATTTGATATGTCATGACTCTCTATAGAAGTCAGCGGTGTATAGCTGGGAGCTGTACAGTGTGTACACGTTTAGCTGCTCCGCTCCACCTCAGTAACGAGTGGTGCATATACGAACTCTATATACATTCATGTATGAATATTAGACTTAGCGCCGTTGAGACCTGGCATTGTATGGTTTTCTAAGTTATGTAATAAAGTGCAAGTGGGAATCAACGTTCTGTCGCTCTTTTCCAAGCTACGCCGGTGCACATGTTGCTAATGCTAAGCTAGCTCTCCTCTTGCGCACCACCACTCACGTTACACAGTGTGACGTGTACGGCGGCAAGTACTGTACTTGAGGCTTGTGGGTTAATGATTACACTGATCCTATCGAGTTTTTATTCTAAGGTGGCAGTCTTTTGTTGTGGTGTTGTGCCAAGAAACATTTAGCTTTAAGATAAGTTAGCAACATTTATGTTATCAAATTGATTGAAACACATTATCCAGATTTTAATGTTCATTGAAGATCTCCATATAATCTATTTCATGTCGCTTTTAGAAACTATTTGCAATTAATATGTGCAGATACAGTTGTGAGATAGTTCGTCTATTGCCGTTAATGCAGAGCTGGAGGAGAGTCACTGTCGTCCTGAATCGCTCAGGCTTACTGAGCCAAGGACTTTTTATTTAAAGAGATGGCATTTTCCAGGAAATGTTTGTGCTCCACTTGGTGTTTTATGTCTTCTGGAGCAGTATCTCCGAAGAACTGAAGGTTCATCCGTTCCCGCTTCGCTCTCTTTGCAGATGGAAAGTTCATCTTATAGCTGGGATCTATTACCCACGACACACTTGACGCAGTCACTTTTTATTGCCTATATGTCCGAACGGTCGATACGAGGTGCTGAAGCTCTGAAAGATGTAATTTCCAAGTGTGCTTACAGTGACTGATGTGCATGATGGATCTCTGAGTCCTGGGGTCTGTTTGGATGGGCAAACACATTATGCAGAGGATCAGCCATCCATGCCTTCACACCACACCTCCTTGGACTGTAGTGTAGCACGTAGTTGACGAGCTTGTTGTTGCATCTCCTGACCTTCAGGTGTTGGATCTATCTGTCAGTTTTAGTTGTTATATTAATCCAGCATTGTTTAATTAGTTTGCTGGGTTAGACAACACATGGAGTTCATCCTTCTCTCCCTGACTTGTCACTGTTTTATTTTGCACAACTTCAGCTGCATTCATGGCCTCTAAACAGATTCTCAAACCTTAGTTTACATGGAATCCCAATGAAACGTTAATTCTAAGTATAAATTATTTATTACCTGTACTGGGTATAAAATATAAAGCTTAGTTCTGTTCAAAACTAGGTCAGACACTTTCTTTTCAAGCTAATTTTTCTTCAAATCAAACTTAAACATCAATGTTCAAATTTTGCTGCGATTTGTTTTGTATTAAATTTATTGAGCCATGATCATTTCAGCATTTAGTTACATGCATTTACATCTAGATCTGTTGCACATTGTTGAGCACAAAATCTTTTGATGAGCAAACCTCCGGAAATGCAAAAACATTCAAATTAAAAAGGGAAGAAGAGGCGTCACGTTCAAACATTTATGTTGATGCGCCATCTCAGGAAGCGTTGACTGTATCACAACTCTAAATTATTTTTGAATAAGCAACAAAACAAAATGGTTTGCTTGTTATAAAGAGATTTGGACAGCAATGGAGTCATGCTAAAGATGTTAAAATAATGTCAAAGATCACCCCAACGTGTTCTGGCAGGAATGATCAAGTTACAAACTCATATCAAAAGAAAACATTTACAGTAAATTAAAGAGAATGACACCAAAGTTCATGCTCATTAATCCAGATATAAATTAACAATGTTGAGTCAGGTCTTCCGAACGGTTTATTTTGTTGCTGAGATGTTTCTTCCTTCATCCAAAGGACTTCTTCAGTCTGAGGAGCCCACCAAACCAAACTGAATCCCACGAACAGCTCACTCCCAGAGTGGGAGAAAAACAGTTTGCTGGTGATAAGATGGCCGACATGGCTACAAGACAATGAGCTTGTTGTTTCTATGACTTTTACTGTTGAACCTTTATTAGCGGTCATGATAATCCAGTTTTTATCCAGTTGTTGATGTTAAGAAGCAGAAAAACAAACTATGGATAAGTGAGGGAAAACGTTCTAAGCCCTCATTAAATGTGAAGACATATGGGGCTAATTTAAATGTTTAATTCATACCTGGAGCCTCATTTATAAAATAATGTGGGATTAATTAGGTCTTTATACCAATTAGTGAACCTACAGTGATATATGGAAACGGTCTTGTCCCTAAATAAAATCTGGATTTGATATAAAGAATTTCCCTGCTGGTTATTTACCAAAAACCTTCATCCACACCTGGATGAACATTTCATAAGCTTTACGAACTGAGAAAAAGGTCAGAAATCAATTACTGGGACTGATGAATTTATGTACCTCCTATTTCTGTTTTAAATAATTGGGAGCATTTTCGTTTTTGATTGTTCATATTATTTACTTTAACACACCTGTGTTTGTAAGAAATCTGCCTTTTCTCTCATGATCTGAATTTACTTTGGTTTTGATCACACAATCTGCAAATAAAAGCTGCATAAAACCAAAATATGGCACATTTTACTTTAACATTTGATGCCAAGTTAAATAAAAATGTGTTTTTAATGAACGGTGTCCATTTATGTGTCCAAACATCACTTAAACATATTTAATCTTGAATAAAGTTTACAGAATACACACGTCTAAAATACTGTTTCTACATTTATTAAACCTGTTTTTCCATAAAAACGTCATATTTTATAACGCGTTCATGTTTGCTGAGTGGATTCAGCTCAGATTTATTGCAGACCTGAGATATTTTGATACGTGGCTGGATGGTAGCAAGGGTCCCACACACCCGCACACCCCTTGTAGCTGGCCTCTGGTGGGCTTCAGGTAGCTTACAGCACGACACTAATGAACAGTGACAGTCACGCCTGCTGATGCCTCGCCCTGTGGATCACGCTGCTCCGTGGTGGACCCGAACAAGCTCGGGCATACCAATACCCCAGCTCTGCTGCGGCGTGTTTCCATGTTCAGAATAACAATGGTGTCCGCTTTATTAGCAGCTCTGTCGAAGAAACAAAAAGCTGCTGAACTTGTTCTTTGGAAAAATGCATAAAGGTCCTGTTTAACGCCACGTGAAGGACGTCTGCTGCCTAAGCAGCCATCACAGTCACTCATACGTGATCCATCTACTCCAATCATAAACTCTATCAAAGCTCCAGAGCGGCTGAGTCTCCATCATATTTATATGTGGATTACAGACGTATGGGATGAGGTATTGATTCTCTTGCAGGCAGATTTTAGGAAAGTAGTGCTTGGGTTTTCAAGGTTTTAAAGACAAAAAATTAATCATTTCTTCACAAGAGGACATTTTGCCTGAGCAATCATAGTTGGTGCAAAATTACATTTTTAATGCTCAACTGATCAAAACTGTTTACTGACAAATGCAGACTACGAGCAGAAAAATCAGCTCATGCACAATTAAGGTCATTTGCTGTGATTCAAAGTGAGCAGGTTGCCTTTAACCAAGTAGAAAACTGACAAACAGTAGTTTTCTAACCTTTCAGCTGTTGAGGGAGCCTCCTGCCAGATTGTCACAAATGGTGCAACTTCAGCCTCAGGTGACAGGGGAGCCAGGATGGAGGAGCGGGAGAGCTGTTGTGCTAAAATGATTACAGAGATAAAGATGAAAAGTCTTGCTTCTGTTCCCTGATGCTGCTATAATGATGGCGGGGTGAAAGCCAGCCTGATTTGTTCTCACCGAGGAAGCAAATGAATCATTGTGGACAACTCACCAGCTCGTCGCAATTAGTCACATTTCTGCCTGATGCTGAGCTTCTGCAACTCCCTGCGTTTTGCTGCTCATCAAGAGGAAGCTGGTGTAAACTCAAGCTGCAAATATTTACTGCAGGAGTTTCTGTAGCTCAGAAAAATAAGGAAAATTACAGAAAAAAAGTCTAAATAAGTATTTTCTTCCGTTTGCCAGGGGAGTCCTGTGGGGAATATCATGTAGCTGTTGTGCAAACAAACGGTATACTGCTGTGTAGGACGACTGGAAACCTTTTCTCTTGTTGTGTGAGATGCAAATAAACCTCAGAAAATATGTTCTAGGCCTCTCTGTGGGCTACTCATGCAGAATACCAATGAGTCTTAATATTTGGGTCATGTGAATGTAAAACATCATTTATAGTTTGTTGTTTGCATGGTTCAAGTGTCGCTGAGCACATCAGTCTGAAGTTATTCATAGACTGAAAAACTGGGACGGTCTTAACCCTCCTGCTGTCCTTGGGTCCAAGTGAGCCCCGAGGCCTCGGTTTTACAACTATTTTCATAAAGCTGATATCTTTAGACATTATATGCCTTTCTTGTATCCTGCTTGTAGCAGCATTTTTGACTTCATCAGCCTCAAGACATCACGTTTGGACATTTCTGTAAATAATCTTAGTCGTGTTCAAATGTTCATCCTTTACCATCAGAATTTGTGAACCAACAGAGTCACACCGCTTCATTAAACAGATGATGGTAATTATGTTCTGCTGGAACAGAAACCATTTATTTTCTGTGCAAATTAGCTGCAAGGAGACCAGCTAAGACTTTGGTGTCCAAAGTGTGGGCCAAGGGCCATTTGTGGCCCTTGGAGTGATTTTGTGCGGCTTTTAATGTTTTGGATCTACAACAATTTAAAGCATTTTGTCCACCAAAATATTCACATTGTTGTTGAGTTAAATTCACATTTTTGTGGCCCATGAGTCCTTTAATTTTGATAGTTTTGGCAAAGATATGAAAAAGTTTGGACATCCCTGAACTAAGCCAGATATTACTAGTGGTGACATGAATGAAACTTTTTGTTGTTGGAATGAAACAAGTCCAGTCTTAAAGCAACAGTTCAGATCTTTATAAGGATTTGATAGAAAGGTAACATTTTTACATGGTTACAACATAAGAAATAAGATATTCCTGCTGGAAGTGCTGCAGACAGCTGCTGCTACAGCTATATACACATGCAGATAACTAAATTATTTTAAGTAAATAATTACAATGTGACACCAACAGTGATGTAAAGGTGTATAAAATAATGAGAACAGCTATGAAACTTCATGGGAGTTATGAGATGGATTAGCTGTTACTCTCAAAGAGCTATCTACAACAGGTAAGATGATCATTTTTCATAAGCTTTCCTCAGAAGCCCACATAAAGATGAGCTTATCCCTACACAACAAGCCACAGTAAAAAATAAATAATGAAATAAATAAACTTACGATTTTCAGAACTTAAAAATGATTATTACAAGAAGTAAAATTTAAAAAATTACTTTTTTTCTCTTTTTGTAAGATAAAAAGAGACAAATCAAAGTTAAAAATTTCCTTTTGTCAGCGTTTTCCATTTTAAATAAGAAAAAGTCCTCACGGGTATTTTTGTGACATGTTTTAACCACATTTTGTCAGGTTGAAAAAAGGTTTTTACGCTTCATATCAAACCCCTTTTTTTTTTTAATTCCTTTAACAAGAAATCGATGCTGAAATCCCTGCTGGAGCTCACTGGGTCACATTGAAGTGCTCTGAATTGATCATTAGAATTTCAGATTTTGTGTGCAAACACTGTGCACATTTGTTGCTGCTGTCTGACATTGATTTTATCATTCAGCTCTGCTGTTCATTAGTGAGGTGCATCCTTTTATGTTGCCTCGACAGCGACTCGCTGAACGTTGCTGCAACCTGAAAACTAAATGCAGTGTGCAACCCATTAAAATTAAATTAATATGTTCTGGCTCAGGTGGTTTTAAAGTGTGAAATGTAATAATAATAATAATAATGTAATTATTAAATGTATTCTATGTTTAATTCAGCATAACGGTGACATGATTTTATTCTTTAACGCGCTGCCTTTTCATTTAATGTACTTAATTAAATTTCAGCTAATGGCGAGTTTCCACCTGTGGCCACCAGCACAAGCAGAGTTCCATCAAGACCTACAACCAAGACTCCACTTCCCTCCATCCGAAGCCCTCCAGTGACCTTCCCCCCCACAGGCTACTGTAAGTCAGAGCTGCACGTCACATGTCGATAAATGTCCCATCTAAAGAAAATATACCCTGCAGTGTTCTGCATCTTTAACTCCTTCTGTCTCTGTCAGCATTGATCTCGTGCTCATGAACAAGGTTGGTAACAAAGTAAGCGCGCCCCCTGCTGGTGCGCACCACAGCTGAGCGAGATGCAGACGTCTTCTTTGGCATTAAATGGAGCAGTTCTGAAATGTAAAATCTCCCAATTTGTCTCCAGAAAATGTCAGCGGAGCCAGATGCTCCAGACTTGACATTTTCCGTCCCAGACTCTCTAATTTCTCTGCTTCGAAAGAGTAAAGATGGACAGAGGTTAATCTTCTACATTTAGGTTGTAAGTTAGTAACTTTCTGTGCAAATCTGTTTCAGACACTTCTTCAGAAGGAAGGGTTGAATTGTACTCAGCTGTAGCTCAGTGGTTAGAGCTGTGTCCTTTAAAGAGAAAGTTGTAGGTTTGATTCCCAGGAAAGACACTGAACCACTCAGTGCCTCTGATCTGTGCCCCATCGGTGCATGAATGACATTTTTACTGCTTGGTCTCTATTGGACGATTTGATCAGTTTAGTTTTGTAGAGATGTAGACGAGTGCTGTATGAATGTGTGTGTGGATGGATAAATGAGGGTACAGGTTGTGTTGTGAAGCGCTTCACGTAGCTCTCTTTAGATACAGTCCATTTACCATTCATGTTGGACTTGTTGAATCATCTCTGATGGCCGGCCCAAGCCATGGGGCCCTAAGCGAAATTTGGTTTGGGCCCTCTATTTCTGCTAATAATGTGGATTACTGCAATCAACAGTCAGATCAGATCATTCACCCCTTAACATAAACTCATTACAACTCTGACAGCCCTGTTTACATTCTCCTATATGGATATATCATCTAGTGCAGGGGTGTCAAACTCATTTTCATTTTGGGCCACATCAAGCTCATGAATGTCCTCAAAAGACCGAACATGGCTAAATGTATTGATAAAACTATTAAAAAACTGGTAAATTATAACTTTCTCTGCATTCAGTGACTACTTCTGTAAATTAAATATTTCATGTTTGAGTAATTTGGCATTATGAGCATAAAAACTGATTTGATTTGACTGATCAAGTAATATTGAAGCACACAACTGTTATCTTGAAGTTCTGTTCTGTGGCCCTCTAGGGTGTAGAGAGACACAGAAATGCTTATGTCGGGCCGGATTTGGCCCACGAACCATGAGTTTGACACATGCGATCTAGCGGTACTGAAAGTTTTTAAAAAAACACCAATGTGCAATGTATTTTACAGCAAGAGTGTCATCCGGTTTATTATCTTTGGTTCCAAAGAACTGCAGCAGCAACCGCTTACTTTGCTGATACCTTGGGCCGGCCCTGCGTCACCACGTTAAAGATAAACTGGACTGCAGACAGTACTCATTTAGTGGACGTCCACCACTGATTAACATCCAGTTCAAGATGGTCAAAGCCAACATAAAAATGGTTGTACGTTCACACTGCAGGTCTTAATGTGTAATTCCGATATTTTGTGTGTTGGTTCACATCGTCGTTAAAATGTGACCTCCATCAGACTCCGGTGTGAACAGTTGAACATTGTGAGGTGACCCACATGTGCAGAAGAAAACGTGTCGTAAATCTGGATGCTACAAATTAGCATGTGTGATTCTGAAGGTGTTGTGCAATCTGAACCAATTCAATTCTCTGTCATGATTTTGTCCAGTGTTCATTTTTTATCTTGACTCTTGATGGCTCCTATTGTTGTATTTCAGAAATGTAAGTGATGTACTAAAGGTAGAAACAAACTCTGGTATCGATCCCATCAGCTTAGTATTGATACGTTCCATCACTAATGTTAGTATCACATTCTCAATAATCCAGGACATTAAAAGACAAAATATAAATCAAATGGTCTTCAAATTGCTGAAGATGCATAGAGTTCTGAAATTAAAACTGCATGAGGTCGTTATTGTTATATTGATACTTGGATCGATCTGTAAACCCCTATTCAATAATGTAAAAGTCTAATGAAATGCAGCCTGATCATTCAGACTGAGGTCGCTTTCAAAAACATCTGCTATGCATCTGGTTCAGTACAGAGTATGAAAAAGACTTGGATTGTTTGTGAAAAAGTTAGATTTGTTACGTTCAGACTGCTGTGAGAAAATCTGATACAGGTCACATATGGGAAAAAAAATCAGATTAGGGCTGCATTTATGTGCAGTGTGAACGCCGCCATAATCAATTTGACAGATTCTGAGCTGTAAAATGGTCATTGTCCATCTTCACCCCCCAGTGTTTGTGTAGAACCACAAACATGGTGAAGCGCTTGCGTTGGAAACATGCATTAGAATGCCCTTAACCATTTTAAGTGAGGAATAAACTTTGTAGAGAGCATGTAACTCGGGAATGTCATCCAGGTTGATAGGCTCAGAGAAAGCAAGGATGATTCTGATGATCAAGAGATTGATGAGATCATCAGGAAACACAGGACTGTGTTTTGGCTCTGTAATATCAGAAGCTTTGTTCACAGTTATGAGCCTGTTTTGCGCTTAATCAGTGCATTTAGCAGGACCTACAACGTTGGGGTCAAGGGTCACATCTGAGAAGAATGTAATGGACTCGGCGGATGTCGGTGGGTCCAGATGACAAAATGTGTTGTGTTCAGGAAGAACCTGTTCCTATGCTTGTTCTGGCTCGGGGGAGCATCTCTTAGATGATCTTTCTGCTCCTCGGCCTCAGAATGTTTGTTCTCTGCGGCCTCCAGCACGTTACAACGTGGATGGAACTGCTGAGGTAATGAAATTATTGTGGTAGTAGCTGAGAGTCATCCCCAACTCTCATTCTGGCCATAATTTTAGATTTTGTATGAGGTTATTTTAAGGTTTGACTAAAATAGCTATAACTCCATCGTTTCTCAACATTAAGGTGATTTAAGTTTCAAAGTCTGGCATGAAAGGTGGTGGGCAGTATGCGTTCCTACGCATATTGTTAGGCCTTTAATGTCAAATCTGTTTGTTGTTTTTTTTAGATATGTTTTTTTTTCTTCTCAGGACCTGAGACTCACTGATCGTCAGTAGAGTAGTTTTTGTGATCGTGTTCAGTTGTCTTCTTGTTTACTGGTCTAATTAAACTTTTCTTCAGGACTTATGAATTTGAGTTAAATATAGAAACTCTTTCTTTGCAGAACAACAGAAGCTGCTTTAGAGGTCAGTTAAAGGCTGCAGAAACCGTCTCTTATCCTTCCATATATCTGTTCCCTGCTCACGAGCCAACGGCTTTACAATGTGTGATTTTCACCGAGATATACCAACTGTGAGATCGTATAGAAAGCTTCTAAATTCAGTTAGGGACAGATGGACTTCAGTCAAGCTATGGAAAAACTGCAGAGGCCACAAATAAAAGTAAAGGAAATATTTTAAAAGACTCAAAAGACAAAAGTGGAAAACATAGACTTCTTAAGGAGAGAGAGGGGTGGACATCAGCACAAAGTGCACAAAGTCAGGATTGTTTATTTGTGGCTTAAAACACAGATTTATATGGTTAACCACTTTTAGTTTGAATCTACTGGGTTGACTTTAAAAGATGCAACCGCATAAATTAAGTTAAAATGTTCCAGGATTATAAGATAAATAGAAGTCACATGAGTCAGTCTAGAAACTATTTTTCTATATAAAAAAAAAAACAAAAAAAACATCCATGTATCTTATAATGTTTGCTTCAAGGGCAGAAAGTGAAAAGCCACTTTAATGCGTTTAAACGCTCGGTCACAATAACCGCAACCTCAGAGGAAGATGGGAGGTTGGGATCACGCCGCTCTCGCCCTGCTGATTATCATAGATATTAACTCGGAGGAAAGAAGTTGAACTCCAAGTTCTGCATTTCAGAGGCAGCCCTGAGCGGTTCCCGTTCCACGGACGAGTCCCTCGTGTCTGATGCTGCTTTGACGTCTGCAGGACAGAGCGGCGAGCCTGATGAGGGTTTAGCTCAGCAGATCTGTCAACCCCCCCACACCCCTTCCAGACACGCTCAGTGATTAACCCCACCAAACATCAGCATCCCCCCCCCCCCCATCTCTCCTTTCCCCCTGCTATCTGGGACGAGGACGTTGGGTTCCCTTTCATTTCTGCATTTGTCTCCATCATGTAGGAAAAAAACCTGTTATTGACTCTGTTAGCCTGTATTACTGCCATCCTGTCTCACTGTCACAACTTGTTCTGATCTCAGTCTGTCCTATTTTATTTCCTCTCATCACCTTGATTTCACCTTCATCCTTTCCTTCTAGACTTCTTTTACTCTCGTCCTTCAGCTCTCGCCACCGTCTTGCTGCGCAGCGATCAAACCGACACATCATCTGTTTGTTTTGATGGAAATTTAACAATTAAGCCCATTAACATGCAACTCGTTCATGTCAGTTATCTTCAAGTAAACTCGTAGTGATTTAACTCGTAAATAATTTTGGGGGTTTATGTGGTTAACTCAATAAACTATCAGTCAGGGCTGGACGATATGGCCAAAACTTTTATCACGATATATTTCTCAATTTCAGTCGATAACGATATAATTCCGATATCGATATAAACTTTACAAATAAATTAATGTTCACCTTTTATTTGTATTTAGCCTTCAAAGAAATTTGAAATCATCATCAAATAAACATAAAACTCAACTTTGTCAATATTAATAGTTTTTACTTTAAATAACAACATAACACTTACCCATTCTCTTTTGATACAGCTGGGTGTAGTTTCAGGGACATGTTGGCTCAAACTTTTATTGTGCTTCATCTTGTGACTGTCAACATATTCTATCGAGTGGAAACTCTTCAGATGAAACAAGTTAGATGTGTTCCCACCACTAGATGGAACGACTGTCACATTTTGCAGCACAATGAAACCTGCAGTTTATCGGATCTTAGATAGCCGAACCACTTCCAGCCAAATTAGTCTTTCCGCTCATCAATTATGTCATCTGCTTTCTCTTCACTTGTG